CTCTGTCCCTCCGATCCAGCGGTGTCTGCATGCGGGTGCACGCGTCCATACACTTACCTTGCGTCTCTGCTTGTCTCCCGGCCGAGAATCCGAACTGCGCATGCGCCCACCCCAAGATGCTTTGCGGCAGCCCGAACAGTTTCGATTTCTCGGGCGGGAGCGCGCAAAGAAAAAAAGGTAAGTTTAAACCGCTGTTTTAGCGGGGGTTTAAAAAAAAAAAACTGTTTGCCTATATCTTGATAGCAGTAGATATAGGCAAAAAAACAGGATGGTTTAGAAGCCCTTTAAGGTGCCCACTCACCTTGCGATAATCGTACAATAATCGCGGGAAATCCCGCGATCGTACGATTATCGTAAGGTGTGTGGAAGCCATGCGACCTCTACTACTGTAAGGTCGCACGACTTTTATCTTACGGACATGTTTGAAAACCGCTGACTGGGAGAACGGACGAGGGAGGGGGCGGGTACAGCTGGCTCTGCCTCTAGATAGGCACAGTCAGCTATCACTCAGGCAGCTGGGTGGATCCAGACATAATTGTCGGGATCGGCTTCAGCTGCAGCGAGCTTTAGCTTTAGTTTGTGTCCTCCGGTTACGCTAAGGAGAACTATGGGGAAAAGGCCGAACCCCATAGTTCTCCATTAATTATTAACAAAAATTTAGCTTATTTATGTATCACTCGGCTGTAGATCTTCAAATCATCTCTGAATTGGAGCTGACATTGACATTGTCCTTCCCTCTGGAGGGTGGCTACTTTTGTTCCCCATGGTCCAATGTAAAGTAGTCACCGCTCCTAACTCACTACCATGATGGACTACAATCTCAAAACAAATTAGTAAACTAAACCTTAGATTGTAGTGCATCATTTGGAGCGGTGGCTACTTTACAACACACACAGGAACCATGGGGAACAAAAGTAGCCACCCTCCAGAAGGAAGGACAGTGTCAGCACCAATTCAGAGATGATTTGATGACCTGGTGCTGACACTGTCCTTCCTTCTGGAGGGTGGCTACTTTTGTTCCCCATGGTTCCTGTGTGTGTTGTAAAGTAGTCACCGCTCCAAGCTCACTCCCATATTGGACTACAATCTCATGTTTAGATTACTAATTTGTATTAAGATTGCAGTCTATTAAATTTTTGTTAATAGTTAAGGTACTTGAATGGATTTCTAGTAGGGATGCACCGATACAGTTTTGTCGACCAATCTGAAAGCCGGGCAGCGAGTCATTACACAACGCCCGGCTTTCTGATTAGCCGGGAAGCTGGCTCCATGCTCCCTCATCAAAGGTGATGAGGGAGCATGGAGCCGACTTTATGGCCTATCAGAAAGCCAGGGGGCGAGTAATGACTCGCCGGCTGGCTTCCTGATTGGTCAGCTTCCCGATCAATCAGTAATCCGTGCTGTGAGTAATTTCACGCCGTCCGGCTTCCTGATTGGCCGGGAAGCCGGCTCCATGCTCCCTTCCCACCAAATGACGAGAGAGCATGGAGCTGGCTTCACGGCCAATCAGAGAGCCGAGGGGTGAGTCATTACCCGCCCCCCTGCTTCCTGATTGGCTGGGAAGCTGGCTTCATGCTCCCTGGTGACGAGCGAGCATGGAGCCGGCTTCCCGGCCAATCGAGAAGCCGTGTAATGACTTGCCACCCGGCTTCTTGATACCGGAAGTTGCGGTATCGGGATAAATATCGGGAGCATTTGGGCGAGTACGAGTATTCATCCAAACACTCGGTATTGGTGTATCCCTAATTTTTAAGATTTAAAGGATAATTGAAGCCTCGGGTGTATTTGCATATATCTACTGCTAGCAAGCAGTAGATATATGCAAAAAGTGTAAAGGAAAAAAAAAACGCTTTGAAAAGGGTTAATACTTACCTGTGTCTTCCCCGCGCGCTCCCGTCTGAAAATGTGAAAAATCTCGGGCGGCCGCAAAGCATCTTGGGGTGGGCGCATGCGCAGATCACATTTTCGACCGGGGCACGAGGAGAGACACAAGGTAAGTCTATGGACGCGTGCACCCGCACAGACACCGTGGGACAGGAAGAGCCAGCAGGAGTCATCGCTGGATCAGAGACCCGCCGCAGCGCTGGAGGGACAGAGGAAAAGGACAGGAAAGAAGAAGAAGATCGGATTAAGAAAATAATTTAAGGTAAGTGCTTTAATTAACATTGGGGAGAGGGAAAAATAGTTTTGCCTTTAATGTCACTTTAACTGCTTTAGTGTCACTTTAAGAACAGATTGAATCAGAAAAATACTGCTTTGTGACCACCAGATGGAGCTGTTCTTTATGGATAAACCTATTTAAGATCATTCGATCAGAAAATACATTACACTAAGGGGTCTATTTACAAACAATTAGCAGAACTATTTGCCCTGAAAATCTTTCTGAATGTTTGTTCTGTGCAAATAGATGTTATGTTATATTTTCTATTTGGGTTGAATGTACGTAATGTAATAGGGCATTATGGCCACTAGATGGAGCCTAGGAGCATAGAAATAAGGTATTCATTTCCTATGCTCCTCAGCTCCATCTAGTGACCATAATGCAGTATTACATTACATACGTTTGACTTGAAAAAAAATATATACTAACGGGAATTTATCAAAACTGGAGCAGATAAAATCTGGAGCAGCTGTGCACGGCAACCAATCAGCTTCTCTCTTTCATTTTCAAAACTTAACTGAACAAACTGAAGAGAGAAGCTGATTGGTAACCGTGCACAACTACTCCAGATATTGTCTGCTCCAGTTTTGATAAATTCCCCCCTAAGAACGTTCGTTTGTGCGTCTATTCGCACAGAACTAACTGTAATAAAGATTTGCAGGGCGAATGTACATTCAGCTTCAATGGACAAATAAGCTTTGTGAATTTTTGTTGTTGGGTTGGTTTGTTTAAGATACTTATAGACTAAAGCATGCATAAACGCTAACTTCCTAACCAGTCAATTCTGTAACTAGGGATGCAACCATACCATTTTTGCACACCAAGTACGAGTACCAATACTTTTCCTCAAGTACTCGCCGATACTAATTACCGATCCCTTTTTTGTGTGTCATGTGACAGTTTTTATAAAACAATGCAGACTAATGATTTTAGGATTGCAGTAGAGCGCCAGGGCACAGATGGGACTGCTGCGACCTGGTAGTTCTGCCACTGACTCCAAGCTGTAGTGCAACTTCAAATCACAGCAATATATTATACAGCTATGCAGAATACCACCAGCTACAGAGTACTACAAATCCCAGCAACACATTGTACAGCAATGCAGGATTATATGAAGCTAGATACTCTGTGTTGCTCACCAGGGCTGTTCGGGGTCTCAGGAAGCTGTGCGGGGGTCTGACCAGGGCTGTGCGGGGTCTGACCAGGGCTGTGTGCAGTCTCCCAGGGCTGTGCCGTCTCACCAGGGCTGTGTGTGGCATCTAACCAGGGCTGTGCAGTCTCACCAGGGTTGTGTGAGGTCTCACCAGGACAGTGCGGCGTCACAGGTGGCAGTGCTATTCGTTATTACAACACATCACACTGTTTACTTTTTCTCTTTTCACTTTATTGAAGTGTCAATCAACTCTATGCACTGCAGTGTGTTGAGGCTTGATGCGCTATCTCTGCATTTTTATACAATGCACCTTAGCCCTCATTCACACAGGAATCGGCCCGCACGTACAGCTCCGTGCTGCGTGCAGGGCCGTACCGTGCAGCTCCCGGGAAGGACAGGTGCTGCATATAATTAGTACGCAGCCCGTCCTTCTCTATGGGACTACGCGACCGTACGCCTCCCTACGCTCACCTCAAGTGCAGGTCCGTGGGGGTGCGTGTTTCCTGGCTCGGACGCAGACGGGATCCATCCTGTCAGCGTACGAGTACGCTCACCTGCACGGACGTGCAGGGCGGGTGAGCGTAGGGCAGCGTACGGCCGCGCAGTCCCATAGAGAAGGACGGGGGCTGCGTACTAATCACACGCAGCACCTGTCCTTCCCGGGAGCTGCTCGGTTTCTCCCTGCACGCAGCATGGAGCTGTACTTGCGGGCCGATTCCTGTGTGAATGGCATGAATGGGGCACATAGAAAAGAGTTGTTTTCTATGTGCCCTTGCGCTGAGCCTGTGTAGATCAACACAGCTCAACAGACATGGTGGGAACATTGGTACTGAGCAGTGGCGGCAGAGTGCATGGTTCTTTACTCATGCACATTTTAGCACAGACGTTTACATTCATACAGTGTAAAATACAGCCCAAATGCAGGACTGTGAATGCAGGTTTCTCTACTTTTGATAAATGCTGCGGACCAAAATGGAGCAGTGTGAACAGGCCCATAACATGCAATACTGCTGCATTCAGATCCATATAAATTCCAGACCTGAATGCAGTAAATTAAACACACACAGACACGTGTATATGTATACATGCTGGGATATGTAGTTAAAGTACACCTGGTGTGCCAGAGTTGCCTACTTCTGCCCTAAACCGTTCAAATGTCACAGAGGCAACTGTGGTTATGCAAAACTTCTCAGGATTGCATAACTGCCCGGCTAGCTCAGTCGGTAGAGCATGAGACTCTTAATCTCAGGGTCGTGGGTTCGAGCCCCACGTTGGGCGATGCTTTTTCTTTCATAAGTCTATATATTGATTCATACAGTTTACATTAATATTCAAGAACATGTCTTATGATTCCGTAGTTAATAATAACTATTGTTTATTCTTGTTACACACCAAGCGACGAATCCTAACCGTTCACTAAAACATTTAATCATCAGCACACGTAGATTAGTAGCAGCAGCAGCAGTAGTAAGAGTGACAAATTGAAAGCTTATTACATTGTAAATAAAAAGGAGACGATTTTATAGCACAAAGAATCCAACAAATTGAATGTATATACACAATGCTACTTAAAGGCGGGAGGGGCAGGGAAAGGGCGGAGCCTGAGCTGGCGGGAACTACTCCCCCCCCTTCTTTCCCCATCACAGCTTCCTCTTCCCAGAAGCAACGCGGATGTTCTGAGCATGCTCAGATAGGTGAGGGAGGGTAGACTAGAGCTGCGCACTGCGCGTGCGCGAAGGGCACCGTGACGTGCGGGCCCGCGCGGTGTGTAGATGCGGCGGACCCGTTCCCGGTAGCCGCGCATGTTATAAATGGCGCCGAAGCAGGACCCTAGGCCTAAGTTCCAGGAGGGTAAGCGAACGTCTGTGGCGAAGGCAGGCAGGGCTTCCGGTTTCCCGGGCTTAGGCTTCCTGCAGAGCCAGTGTCCCCATAGAGGCGGTTATAAAGAACCCGTGGTAGGGGGGTGGGGTGACTTGATGTTATAATGAGTCTGTGTGGTGTGCGATAGTTCTCTCACAGTGGCTGGGTCACAGAGGTGCAGTTATTGTATAAAGGTGCCCATACACTGGCCGAGCCTCTGCCTAGACTTCCATCCTACAGCAGCAGAGGAAGCTCTGGTCCTTCTGTATTGGTTAGGTGACATGTGATGATCCTCAGCCAATCCTGCCCCTATCAAGTTAGATTGCACCTTTCTCCCTGTGAACTAGTTGATGGGGTTCAGGAGATGAGAGTGCTTTGCATGGGGGATCAGCAGTATTTGCACCATGATCAGGTAGATCAAAAACAGGCTGCCATGTATCTCTACTGGTGCCCAGATGTAAGAGAATGAGCATCAGTTTACATCTGGGTTTAGATTCGTCCGACCGAATGCAATAAGTTTGTGCCGGGTTTGGTTTTATTGACCTGACCTGGTGTGGGCAGATATAGGGGCGTGTGCATGTCCATTTACATCCAACCTCACATAGGGATGACATGGTTCCCATTCTAAGATGAGGGGGGCGACAGAATGAACATTGTGTGACATCAGTTTCCATACTGATCCAATTCAGCGGGAGAAGGATCAGTCTATGGGTCCCCCACTGAGGAGTGCAGGCGCCCGTCTAGAAGGGTCTGAACTGTGGACATTTGTGTATATTTACATATGTTAAAACAGCAAATGAGCGTTAAAGTTTCAGATTTCACCTTTCCCATTCACCTTTGACCCATCCTGCAGGGAATTGATTTATCTTTTTTTATTTTTTTATTTATCTTGTGAAGTTATATTAATCATAGTCCCTCGCAGGCATTGTTTCTGGGGGCAGTGAACTGCTACTTCGGTGCTGCAAATGGTCCCTCATCAGTGGGTTCCCTTGTGATGACCTCACTCCTCTTCTTGATCTTAAGATGGCCTGCCACTGGACAGCTAATAAAGTGTCCATATCACATAGGCAGTGGTGTGGACACCTGAAGAAGGCCTCCGTAGGATATAAACAAAGAAAGAAGACTTGGTAAAGGAGGATCACATGACTGGCTAAGTCAAATGGGCATTTAGGCTTTTTTTCATTTGCCAGTGATCAATTAGAGAGGGGTTGGAGGGGGTTAGGCCCCATTCACACCAATATTTCACACTAACATAGGATTACATGTGGTGTGCCTGCGTTCAAATTTAGCGGCTGTCACCCGATCATAAAATGAGGTGAGTGAAAATCATAGTCCTCATAGTTCGAGCCGACGTAACAATTAAACTGTTGCACGTTGGCTCAATAGATCGGGAAGTGAGTGAACTCATACAGTCGCTCGCTCACTTCTTGATCCTGTCCCTGCAGAGAGCTGTGGCTGTCGCTCACGGCTCCCTGCAGGGATTCCCCCCCTCCCCTGTCCAATCCTCCAGCGCTGACTGGCGGAACGGACGGGGGAGGGGCGGGTACAGCTGGCTCTGCCTCTAGATAGGCAGAGCCAGCTGTCACTCACGCACCTGGGTGGATCTCGACAGTAATGTCGGGATCCGTCCCGGCTGCGGGGGTCTCAGTATACCAAGAGCTGTAGCTCGCGATATACTGAGCTTTGGGTCATGGCAGGACGCTAGTTTGTGTCTTCCCGTGACCCTTGAGAGAACTATGGGGAAAAGCACTGACCCCATAGTTCTCCTTTTAACTTGAATGGGTGACGGCTGTCGCTTGTAACCAGCAGATTAGGGATGCCTAATGGAGTACTCCCTAATCAGACCTGAAATATAGGTGTGTGTGGTGCCTTAGTGTTATTCCGGAGATGGGCTTTAAAACAAGCTTCTGCTGACCACTATAGCTGCGTGCACTGTGGGGCAACACCTCTTCATTTCACGGCGGAAGCACTCTAGTTTTTGTTTGTTCACACTATCAGGGTTATTTACAAAAGGGTGAAGAGTTTGGAGAAGGCAGGAGAGGGGAACAATCTAGGACAACATAGCTGAACTGGAAAGTGAGCTGAATTGGAGAATGTTTCCAAATCAGCTATGTTGTCCTAGAATGTTCACTTCTCCTGCCTTCTTCAAACTCTTCACCCTTTTGTGAAAAACCCTGTATATGTTGCGTTAATGTTCACCTTGTCAAGGCAGCCCATCTATTCTGATACATGGAAACACTGACCCGATTTCTTTTTTTGAAGGCAGCGCACCACATGGCACCACATGTGCATTGTGATATGCTGCAATGCTTGTTCATTGCCCGCTACTGTAATAGTGTGTTGGGGGTGCCATTGCCGTACATTGAAACTACACTGCATAAGTGCAGAAAAAGCCATCAGACACAATTGCTCCCCACTCAAACAGTAACAGTTGTAATGTAAACATAGCAAGCCCTCAGGGAGCAGGTACCAGGGAAATCTGGGCCGCTGAGAGGAGTCGTTACTACTTCAGTGCTTCTCTTGTGAATTTTGAAGATTTATTGCTCCATGGTGCCTGCGGTACTTTGGGGGAAAAAAACCCTTGCAGTGGGGCTCTTTCTGCATGGTAAGGATTAATTGACTATGGTACCAGTAAAAAGCACATTTACTTACCCTTTCCCTCACTTCCACAGGCTCCTCCTTCCATGCGACCGGTCCACTGAGGCACCCTCTCTTCGGCTCTCCGGCCCCTGGTTGCAGCTGTTGAGCTATCACAGCCAATACAGGAACATCAGTCCTGCATTGTAAGCGAGGACACCAAGGGCCCGCCAACAAGCCGGAGCGTCGGAGAGAAGAGGTGAGCACCAGCTGCCGGTGGAGCTAGGGATAAGGTAAGTTAAAGTGCATTTCACTGGTACCCTAGGCAAAAAATAGGATTTAAAGTGACACTAAACTCAGGATTTAAATGAGAACTATGGGGCAACCTCTTTTGCCCATAGTTCTCCTCAGCGTCATGGGAGGACATGTACTGTGTCCTCCGGTGACCCAAAACTAATTTATAGCGGGCTATTGCGCTCTATATACTGAGAGCGCCGCATCCGGATTGGATCCCCACAATACTGTCAAGATCCATCCCGCTGGCTGATTGACAGCTTGCTCTGCCTATCTAGAAGCCAGCTATGCCCTCCACCGTCCGTCCCCCCACTCAGCGCTGGCTGGAGGTTTGGAGAGCAGGGGGGGGAATCCCTGCGTGGAACAGTGACTGACAGGGAGAGGATCGTAATAGTCAGCAATTGGCGGTTTCTGTTCGCTGATTTCCCCGATCAATAGAGCCGACGGGTGACAATGTCGGCTCCAATTCAGAGAGGATTTGAGGATCTACAGCCGAGTGATCCACAAATAAGATACATTTTTGTTAATAGTTCAGGTACTTGAATGTATTTTTAAGGTTTAACTCCTGAGTTAAACCTTAGAGTCCTGTCACTTTAACTCCTGGGGGGGAATTACCCCAGTTCAGCTTTAAAGCTCATTTACCGCTTGTTAATCAAATGTTTACATCATGTTCACATTAAGGCCTCACTCACATCTGTGCATGTCTTTAGTGTGTTTTTTCCATGTGTTGTCCTGCTATGTTGTGTACTTTTAGCCCAGAGAGAGCCTTCGATGCGATGGAAGCACACAAGAATACATCATCTGTTTTTGTGCATGCCTGTTCATTTCAATAGACCCCTCAATGTGCCATTGTATCGACAAACGTATGTGAGCTTTTTACGCTCGCATTTTATCATTGTGCAAGTGTCTGAACTTGTAAGATTGTTTTTTTTTTTCCTCCTACATGTTGGTTTGCATAATGCATACATAATGATGTGTGAATGGGACTTTGGGACATAATTGTTCATGTATATGTGCCTCTCTGTAAATAGTAAAATGATCAGCAAGGGTTTGTTCTTTCTGAATCAAAATACATTGAAAATAAAACCTGAGAGGTGGCCAAAAATCTTGCTAGAAGCATTTTTGAAAACTGCACGCACATCCCAATTGGTTCTAATGAATCCTGTTTTGACAAGTTTCTTTTCAATGCACTATTGGTGCTGTTGATATCTGCTGTTGATATCTGTGTTAGATCTTACACTCTGTTTAAGCTCCAGGACCCTAAACAGGGCGTTCCTCTCTAAAAGCTGTTTTTGACCCTGGTCTGGCTCAGGATTTAACATTTGGGGGTTTTTAAATAATTTTTATGATGTCTGATTGCTACTTTTGTGAATAATTTTACATTTGTGAAACAGGAATATTCTAGCATGCTACAGGATTTCTGCAAAAGATTCAGCTCAACCCTACAAAAGCTGATTTTTCTATTTTTCGTCCCCCCCTCGTATTGAGAAATTTGCTTAATAAATGATTAATAGGTGTGCAGTATACTGCACTGTGAAATAATATTGCAAATGAAGGAAAAAATGTTCCTGGTTGGGAAATATTATTCTTATGATCCCAGGACCAAAATCTTGTTCTGTGCTATTGTGCAATAGTTATACTAGTGTGCTATGGAGGTGGTGGGGGTTACAGGGGCCCGTGCTTTTCTGGATTGGACTCCACCAAGACATGACGGGGGAGATGTATGTGCAGTAAAGGACCATTCTAAAAGAAAAGGCAGCGAACACAAAAAGACAGCAGAGATTTATCAGGATCTTGGTCTTTGAATACTTCTGAAGCTCCAATGTTGGAAGAATGCTCAAGTTGGTCTCATGCTGTACATGGTAAATTTAAAGCAGACTAGTAGGATAATACAATTATGTTTAAATGATCAGTATGAAGAGGACGACCGATCATTGAACTTGGTTATTTCTTATAAATATTTATTAATGGGTTCTGTATAAAGTTGATGCCGTCTGTATGGGCTCTCCACATCAGTCTCTCAGAGCGAATGACTTGCCAGTGTATTTTCCCTTTTTTATTTTTTTTTCTTAATTTTTTTTTTTTTAAATTTGCCATTGATCTGATTTTAACCAATTATA